GATTACGCTGTCTTATTGCATAAGTACTGGAGTGGAGGGGGAATAAATATTGGTTACTCCTAATCTTTCCTTTCGGTTATGAAAGACGTCCTTATGAGAGGTAATTTAGTATTAAAGATGAGTGAGTTTGTCAGCATTACATAGAAGTTGCCATGTTTTATTCGTTGCTGTGATGGCGGGAGGGAAAAAGCGATAAAGAAGTTAGAAGTTAGTTTTTGCTTTACCTTTTACAGGTTCCGGTTTCAAATTCGGGATGTGGCGTAAATTTTCTCTTATTCGCCGCTAATTGTCTTGAGCAAACAACCGACCCCATTATGCTTCGGTCAAACCAGTCGAAAGAAACGGGCAGTAAGTGGTTGATCTGCGAATAAAATGGAGAGCATGGCGTTTTCGCGTGGCTGCGCCAGACGTACGAGGCATACGCCAATGCTGTTGTGTACTCCGTACGACTGCATTTCGTACCCACTAACCTGATTGATGACATGAAACCGCCTCAAAGTACAAATGGCAAGCAAATAAAACAGGTGCAGGCAATAACTGCAGTAGGATAAGGAGGTCAGCATGCCCAATTAGGAACAAATTAGAGGCAGACCTGCTTACAGAGAGGCACGTTTTCCTCTTCGATACAGTAACCGGTTTCTAACAGGAAACGTGTTGAAGAGCTGCGGATACAGCGGATATCACAGACCAGGGATTTAAGGTGATGATCTCAGCAAATACGTACAGATGTTACAATAAATAAAATGACAAAACAGTGATATTTGTGTAATAACATAAAAATTGGTGACGGTAGTTAAGGTAGGAAATCTTATCGTAAATGAGTTTTGCTCTTATTAGCATAAAACATTATGAATAATATCGAAAATGAGTACGTTGGGACATGTTTAGTTATCGGCGAAAACAGAAGACGATGAGTTCATCGCTGATTGTATTCACGCTGCTCAAGGCGTTGATGAACGTCGCCTGTCGGCCCTGCGAGAAGAAATCGCCGATTATGATCCGCATAAAATCGGCGTCGTCGATAGCGCCTTTTTGCAACGGATTTTGTCTGAGAGGCTCAAATTAGTAACGTTGAAATTATTCTGTTGTAAAGAATGTGACGTGTCATCTTTCAGAACTTTACACAGCCAAATCATTTGGCAAAATTCGTGAAAATATTCGCCGTCGACCGACACATACCCCGGCTGATATTCTACGAACGTCTGTTGTCTCAACTGGAAGACATAAAGCTGTTGCTCAAGAAGAGGTACGGAAAAGTATTTCAGACCGTTTTTCCCAGTAATGAGTCAACAAGTGCCTGAAAGTAGTCGAATTTGGGATTGCTCTTGCCTGATAACTCAATTGGTGACAGTCATCAAACTAAATAGACTTAAATACAAAATGTTACGAATGAAGCAGTGGTGCAGTTTCCTTGCCGCTAACGGAATTAATCTGTTCAGTGGCTGATGAGAAGCTGCAAGATTATGCACTACTGTTTCAACGTCATATTTAACCTGGTGAATGCTAAGCATCGTTGCCATCGCCAGAAACCATTTCAACACGATTGAACAGTGAATACTGTACGATTGTGGGAAATAATTGCCATGTCTGATTCGAAATTGGATAATGACAGTGAGAGCCACATTCGCAAGTGAATACAAGCATTGGGGATTATTTGGCAAGGATGAACATATTTTAAATAATGAATAATCTGTAGCATAATCACTGCACGAATTTATGGCTTGTTAAAACATTTTTTCTCTGTTTCTTGTCATAGATTCACAACTGCGTGATAACAAGATTGGGCCTAAGTTTCCTGAATGATGCTTATACATTAATAGTTTACAATAAAGAGTTTTAATTGAATATAATATCGTTAGTTGTTTTGAGGCTTATGAAAATATTAGGAAATCGCTTTCAAAAACTCATTTGGATTCTGTCTCTTTTCAAAAAGGTGGCACGAAATTTGTTGCTATAAGCACAATAAGAAGAGCAGCTGTATTTTATAGCTAGCTTATTGCTGTTAAGCCAAAACTGTGGTAGTAAAATAGTAGCTTTAGCGCTGATGTTACGGCTACTCTTACACCATCGAATTTCTATGGCCTATAAGCATCACCATACTTCCCTAACTTTACGTGAGGGATATGTGTATCAGACGACGACACATAAGAAAAATATTGATACTAAGGCACAAATGCTGAGAAATACTATGCATTGCATAAGTAATTTTCTGTCATTGTGCCCTGA